GATTGGGAAATTGGATCTCATGTGATGAACACCAACTCTATTCATTTAATAAGTGACAGGATTTTACTTTGTTGCCTTACCCTTCTCTATACATCTAATTTTCTTTTGTTACTTAGACTTGTGCCAGACTGATTTAGTGGCATCTGCTGTGTACTTGTATGGTGGGATGAGCAGTGAGTTACCGGGTTTTCCACTGACAGAATTTTTTTTTTTTTTTTTAACCATGAGAAACTGGATACTTTGCAGAAAAGAGGTAAATCCTGGAATAAGGAGAAAAAAAACCTCAAAGGTTGTCCTTGTCCCATGTCTTTCCCTTTATTTCTCTAGCCACCAAGCAGTGCTTTTGGGGCAGACTTCTGTGCAGTGACCTTGGTATCCATGTCCTGCCGTGACCTCACCACATTGTCATCACGCCATGGTCTCAAAATGTAGAATATCCTACTATAGGAAATTTGACACTATCAGTATTACAGTAATTGCAGTGAAGTAAACTGCAGAAGAATATGTTTCATGTCAGTGGAAGCAGAAAAGCTAGCAGATGAATTGGATTCCTTTTTAGATTAATATTCTATGGATCAGCAGGTTTATTCAGAGTTACTTAAAAAGCAGTTAACATTCCATTAGCAACAAACTGTGATCTGTGTCAGCAGTAAAGCACCGTTCAGTCATTTATTTTAGAATGAGCAGTCACTGCAGGGAGAAATAAAATTATTAAACGTATCAAAAGCAAATAAATAGTAAGGCAAAGCCAGGGATTTTCTGTCTTATTCTAAATATTAAGCCTTCCTCCTAGGAATAGTTATTAATATAGAGCGATTTTTTTTCCTGATGTTTGCTATGTGCAGGATGAGTCAGAAGTTTCATTTCTTCTGATAGTTTGGGTTTGTGATCAAAGAGAAGAAAAAGTGCGTGCTCAGATTTGGCTGCTGCCATGTTATTTTATTCAAGCGGGAACGTTGGTTCAGCATTACGTCCTCTGCTTTGGTCCAACTCAGCTTTGGTCTCAAAGAGCTGTCTTAAAATAATACCTTTCCTTGCAGCTAGCAGTAGAAATGTATATGACCCCATGCCCCAGTGGTCTCTTTACCTGATCACAATTACTTTCTGTGCTTAAAGCAGTCTTTATCTCTCAATTCTCCTGACTCAGACAAAATCTGCACTAACACAGGAGTTAATGTTAGGCTCTTACTATTCTTGAAGGGAAAGTCTGATACTCTAAAACCTTTTTATAACTACTGAGATCAGGTATAAAATAGTCTTAGACTGTCATTGATACTATGGCTAGCCAGACAGGAGTAGAACAAGCAATCTTGAAATCTTTCGAGTTATGCGGCAGCAAGACCCGCTCCAAGCTGAGCCGCTAATGGCAGGCATCCTAAAAACATTTCCATATTATCCTTGTGTCATTCTCCTATGTGGTATTGTGCCAAATAAAGTTCAGCCAAACCTCAAACAATTAGAAGTTTGATTGCTTCTGTATTGTTTTGAAGCTAGTGCTCTGACTGTACGGTCCTGCAACCCTCTAGGGCACGTTGTCCCCACTACTGGACATGTCACATAAAAACAGGAGCTCAACAGTTGCAAAAGCTGCACAGTATTTTAGTAATAAATTTAAATGTAGAACCCATTCCCAAAGTAACCGGTTCTGCATTACACAATAATGTTGCTTCATAAGGTTTTAATCCTTTTTTTAATTACTCTGAAAGATGAATCATTATAGAGAGACATAAAGAGACAAGGGAGGAAGAAATATAAACAAACAGGTGGTGACTACACTGGTTAGCCAACTAGTATTTCTTGTAAGCCAGTAACAAGCAGATGCAAAGCTGACTCGTGTGTCACGTAAGACTGTGATTAAGACATTGGCCTTAAGTGTCACACTGACTTTGAGAAACTTCATTTGTGATTTTGATATTTATATGTATCAAAATATATGTGGGGTACAAGTAATTTCAGATCTCCAATCAAAATTAGTAATGAGAAATGAAGAGCTGTTATTTACAGTAATAACCAATATCCCCCCATTTCCCTGAGAATCTGCTGGACTTGCACAGGTTAATGTGAAGGGAGATACTCCTTTTTTCATCCTTTTCAGAAGAAAAGGATCCTGAAGGGTGCTCTAATGTGGAGAAACAAAGTTAATTTTTTTTCTCTTCCAGCTTCTGCTAGTGGCTGGTCTGGTGTGACACAAAACACTGCGAGGGCTTCTTCAAAAGCCATAACCTTGAGGCTGTGTTTATTCTCTCCTATTTCCTTGTAAGAAGATTATGATAGTAAATAGTAATTTAAAATGAATTCTAAGCTAAATCACTTGGACTGCTTTTTTTAGACCCGAGCCCTAACCACAGCAATTGTGTTTAAACCTATCTATCTCCAATAGTTAAACTCTCTGCAGATAACATTTTTAAGGTGCGGGGTGATGGCAAGCAGTTTGCCCAGCTGTTCTGACGCTCCGATTTAATGGTGGGTACGAAAAGCTTTGGAGTGAATTCTCTAAGTTTAAACAACAAAGCAGCATGTTATAATCTTTTCTCATGTCACTTCTTTCCTTCCATGAGTTGAAACTCCAAGATTTTCAATATGGCTCAGTAATTCTAGTAAAAAGGAGGAAGCAAGTAATGAATAATACTGATCATTCTGGAAATCTTCCAGTGCTGCTGCTTAGAAACTGTTTTTCAAGAGATGTACTTAGAATTAGCCCTTGCGTTAAAAAGAATACAGTCGCATCACTGATGGAAGTGCAAAGCATCGAGCCAGGAAGTAAAAAGGAATTTATTTTTAATAGACAGTTTATATAGTCAGTGTAATCCATAAATGCATGCGGATAATACGTAAAACATTGTGGAGGTAACAACCCCACAGATACAATGGTCTTTATTTAAATCACCTTTGCAAGTACGTTCTTTGTATCAGAAGAAATATTTTTAGTTCTGTTTAAACTCTGTAAGAAATAAGAAAAATGCAATAAGTTTTTAATATTAGGTACAAATTCAACTGATGATGGCACATTTTGCATGAGCGACCTTGTACACATTGAAAAAAAAACTGTAATCTGGTCCAGAAAGCATAGATTATGCTTCCGTTTTAAAATCGATAACACCTTTGAAAACACCTCTCTGATATTACCTTATTGCATAATGTTTGCCTATGGATTTTTTTTAATGTTTGAACGTATGACAGAATTTGAAAATCTACTACGTGTAGCAGCAAGTGCAGGCAAGCAAATTGTGAAATAAAATTTCTGGAGTGAGCACCATTTAATTGTTAAGCGATTCACCTGTATGCCACCTGCTAATCCATCTCTGGTAGAATTGCAAAGTTTTGACTATCTTGCAAACAAGTGTCATTTTAAATAGGAAAGCAAAACTTAAAAAAAGCTAAACAAGGAAAACAAAGCTTTTACAAAGAAAAGTTGTTGCTGAAGTATTTCCTGAACACCAACAATCAATTGTGAAACCATCGCATATTTCTGATCCATAAATTCTGATTTCTTACAGTCAGAGAAACACTTGCTTCATTTATATACGCAGATAGAGCCTTCCTATGAAAACTAGCTGTGTTTGTGGTCCCAGTAGCATTTAAGATAAATATTGCAATAGTTTCTTAATGTCTTTTAGATATATACCAGATATCACTATTGACAATACCCTTCCTGTGTTGCATACTGAATTTGTAAGGCAGATTTTATTCTTGCTTCAGATTACCTGGTTTCTGACCAAAATGGGGCATGCTGCATTTAAAAGGAGTGCCATTGCTGTTTTATATGTTCCCAACATTTTCTGTAATAGCTTCTCTAAAATGTGTGGCATAAACAAAATCCTCAAGCACATTGCAGTAAAATGGTTTTATTGGTGCTCATTTACACTGACCTACATAGGTTGTTCTCAGGCTCCCTGTTCCTGAGCAATGATGCTCATTCTGTACTTGTGCCAAGAAAGCACTTAATCTGCGCCAAGCCATTTTTTTTTTAAAGTACATCCCGCCATCAAAATAAAGGCACAAATACAATTTACATTCTTTTAGTAAAATCAGGAAAAACAATCTCGGTGAAGAAAGAAGGCAGGAGTTACCCATCCAGTGATCTTACAAAGCATGTCTGCATAGATCTGATTTTCCACATTACATCAAGAGCAAAGAAAGCCTGAATACCCACTTAAAGTCACCTGTAGATGGGAAGAATGGAAATGGAAGCACAATATGAATGGCACCTCTGGTTTGTTTATTTTAGAAAAAAAAAAGTAAATTCTGACTCCGTTCCTCACTGACTTTTCATAGCCTTCTATATTTCAATACTCTAAAACACTCTCTAAAATTTACTTAACACAAAAATACTGAGGGAGGACATTTTATTTTCATTCTATGTTATGTGTAATTATCTAAGATTTTGAAGTGTTATGGGATGAATAAATCGGGATTCTTATTTTAGACAAAGTGAAGATGTCATAAGTAAAGAAATTTGCCAAAGCAGGAGTATCTGAAAGGCATTCAAGCTCTGGACATATGACATAAACATGTTTCACCTTAGCAAAATACTGCAAACTTTGGGAAAGCATTTTATCGTGAGAGAGATCAGGGATTGGTTTGCTTGCTTGGTTTGCATGGGTGTAATATTTAGAACATCACACAGAACGTTCATTAAGGCTTCCTATTAAAGTCTGACCAAACTAATATCCCTTAGAAAGCAAAACATTAGCTTGAATTCCCCAGTTTTCAAGTATATTTTTTCACCTCAAACTTTTTTCTCATTAGAACTTGCTGACATCTGTATGATACACATAAACTGTTAGGTAAGCATCTAAAATCCCTCATAGAAAAATAAGAGTATTACTAGAGCTCAGGCACTCTGAATCTTCCAATAAAGCATACAATCAATGCATACCATATCTGCTTTAAAAAAAAAAATCAAAAAACATATCCTCTTTTTATCTGCAGAATTTATTTGACAAAGGTGTCTACCTCACATCCTCCCCCACCAAAAAAATAACTGACCATAGCTTTCTCTATTTTGTCCTCGGGACCAAAGGTGCCCCCTTGACTGGTGAGGACACTGCAGTGGTTGTAAGTTTCAGATTTTCACATAAAAAATTGCGCTGCCGAACTGTGGCTGATCTTATGTAACTGCCAGTAGAAATGACTTTTGCTGGCCTTGTAGGTGGTACGGTCTGTGGAGGCAGTCCATTGATTTCATACGTCCACTGCATTGATTGTGTCTGCAAATAATGAACAGAGACATGGAAATAAAAAATAATCAGTGATCAAATACCTTGAAACTTTTTGACAGTGATTTACCATGCTACATTGATTTCAAAAGATTTTTATCCTTTTCCATGTAAGGTACTGGAATAACACAGAATGAGAACTACGCTCCTGGAACACAGAGACCAGAAATCACATTTAACGTTATGAATTCAGGACCAGGCATAACAAAGATGAGTAATTTAGCTTCCTAGCTGATCTAAAATTCCTTTTTCTATTTAGTAAACCACATAGCTTTGTATGTTGTTCAAAGGTAATTATTCCACAGTACAATATAAATGCCTCAGGTTTATACTGTAGGATTTAATTGCAGCTCTGGTATTGGCAATAATGGCATTATCAAATGCTGGATTTTTTGTATTAAAATAATGAACAAAACTAAGAGAAAAGGACTCTGAGTATGCACAAGAGAATTGCAGCTTCGTGTTCAAATCTCTAGTTAGAAGAATATTTATGTGAATTGAAAATGACACTCTTCATTTGCTTTCTGTTTATAACGGGTGTCTAGGAACGGAGCATATGTTTCCATGTCATGTCTTGTAATGCGCGAGTACTTGATTCTTGCTGAGTACGTGATTCTTATTCTTACTACACATGCCATCTATTCGTACTTAAGGAGTATTATTTCTATGCATATGAAGGCTATACTGCTGTCTATCGCCCAAGTTTCATTTGTGTCCTGAAGCAGGATTTTGGTTGCTAAAACCACATGTGTAACTATTGCAGATCTTTCAGTCATTTTTCTTTCAAAATGTATCACTTTAATTCTTGAAAGCAGGTCTTTATTTCAAGTCTTTGGCATTTTCCTGTCATGACATCTAGGAAAAGGTCTTTTCATGGGTTTTTAGCTTTCTATTCTCCTTTTCCTTTAAAAAAACCACAAGCCAGCAACAGAAAAATTACAAAACCCAAAGATTTCACATGATGTATCATTACGTCCAGCTTTGTACTGTGCAAAAGAAAGACAAAGCACTGCGTGCCCACTTTAGGCATGCACTGTCGTCCATTCCTTTGCACTCAGCGATTGAAAATCCCAGGTTTTGTGTTTGGGGCTGTTTTTGATTCCAAGGCAAAACTTGTAGGGAACACTGAGTAAAAAGTATGGCATGATGTAGGTCTGTTAAAATACATTCATACAAGTGAAATTTTTTTTATACAGAACATAGAACATAGTGCATGTACGTAGTACACACGTACACAGTACACACCAGGCTCTATGACTTTGCAGCCTCAAAGCAGTGGAGTCACGTTATTTAAGTGGTATTTCCAAATTCCCAAGATCTGCCTTTCCACATTTGGCACAGCCCTGCAATCACACAGCCATGCTGCTTGTGGTTCTAGCGCAGGTTTGTCAGTGCTAGGCTTTTGCATCATGCTGCACCGAACTACAGAGACATGGCTTGTAGGATCACCTTTCTCTGCTGCTCCAAGTCATAAAGATTCATCATTCCAACAACAGCTGTGATTTATGTAATTCATCTCCCATTTAAAACTAACAATCCTTAGAACAATCACTTGTAGATATAACCATTACACCCAACACCAGTGTCATTTTTCATCCAAGGAAACAAAAGGTCAGAAAGGCTGCGTATACTCTCAGATCAATCTGGAAATCAGTGCAACAGTCAACCTCAAAGCTCGAGAGTTTTTCCCTGAAGCACTTAGTTAACAATCTGACTTCCAACATAACCGGTTTGTGGCCCATTTGCTCGTTCCAGTTTGAGAGCTCTGCTTCTGCTTTGCTGCTGGGCATGTCCATACGCCAAGCAGAGTTGGCCTACAGAGAAGAGCAACAGTATCCATACAAATCGCAACAAATTTTCACATAGCATAAATGCCATCAACTATCTCCAGAGCATAGTGTGAAATTTGTCTATTTATTTATTGCATTCTGTCAATTAATTATGGTCTGGGTAAAGCACTACAAAGGCCATAGGGAAAAGCAGTCAACCTCCTCCATCTCGAACTTTCTCTACAGTCATCTCATACTTATAACAACATACCCAAGAGAATAGAAAGGATGTTAAAGTGGCTCTCTGACTTTATTAAGTTTTGTTAACTATCGATTTTATATCGCCACTGAAAAAGTTTGAATTGATGATGTTTACCTTTGTTATCGTTCATATGCTTCTTCCTATTGTTCTGATTGTTACTCTGTCATTGCTAAAGTGTGTGTGTGTGTGTGTGTGTGTGTGTGTATAAAAGGGTATCATTGCAAGCAGTTTTGCATTCATGTTGCAGCTATCCAACGGGAAGAAGTTCCATTAAACTGTAAACCCTTTGGCACAGGCTTTGTTCTCTGTTACGGGCTTATACAGCATTTATACTATTTCACATATAGGCTGCATACACTTACAGTTCTTAACTGTCATCACCATATGAATCTCTAATTGTGATGCTTCTTGCTAGACAACTGGTTTTAATCAGTATTTTGATAACTGAATATATACTTTTCTGTGCTAATGTTGAAAGAATAGGTGACTTTTTTTGCTGTGTATTTTTAAAGAAACTTTTTTAAAACCTGTACTTTAAAATTGGCAGTACTGATTTTACATAGTGCCTTCTGAATGAATTGCCTTATTCAAATAAGATTAGTAAGCGTAAGATCTCAAAAGATATTTCACCATGCATGCTTAATTTTTTAAACTTTCATTACTATTCTGCTCAAATCAAAATCTAATTTAAATTGAATATTATTCCTGTGTAAAACAGGCAGATTAACTCATCTTTATTCTCAACCTTATTTAATACTGTGAAATGACCTAGTAACTCCACTGCCTGTAAAGATAAAATCCAGCAAAAGGAGGTGTGACATGGACCAACATCAGTATCTTATGTCCAAAGATAAAGTTGTCATTTAAGAAAAGTAAATTGCTCTCCAAAGTTAGCTAGTTGTTTTATTAACTTCAGTACAAGATGAAATGCTTTCTCTTTCTTTAGTATGCCAGATGAACAATTTAGTTTAAAGAAAATTTAACCTCAGGGTCATATTCACTGTGTGCAAGTCTCATTGATCACTTCAAGGTCAGAGAAAAGATCTGATAGGTGTTTCAGCCAATGATTTAAACTGAGTATCAAGTTACTACAAAATCATTTCTGTTCATGAAATCCACACATATTGTAACTTTACTGTCTATAGTGATCTTAATTGTTTGAAGTGGGATTTAAACAAAAGTGATGGGCTATGCCACCTCTCAACTTCATTTATCATCAGCATCAAACAATTGATACAGCCTTCTGGGTAGTAATAACCTTTTGTTAATTTTCTGTTTGCTATACAAATATCCTAGATTGTATCTTCTGTGAAAAAAAAGCCAGTGGCTTGACTTGGTGAAAAAAGCTGCCTATTCTGTTGCTGCTGTAGCCCGCATCAGGTGCGGTTCTGTGCCAGGGGGAAAATGATGGAAACTCATTGAGTTAAATGGGGAAAATGTTGTGGGCATTATAACATGAACCCTTTAGATAGGATCCATCAAGCTAGAAGGAAAAAAAAAAGCAATAACAACAAAAAACCCCACCCTAATTTATCATCTTGAACTATGGTAGTCCATCTATTGTAAATCGTGTGCTATCATCCAAGACAGTTCGAGACAGTCACTGTGAAAAAATTGTGCATTTATGTACTGATTTACTGAAAGAAAGACTCTTGGTTTAGTTTAGCATTTTCTGCTAAAGTGGAAACAAAGAGTTACTGTAACTGTCAACATAATTTGGGTTAGTGCTTTGTTTAGCACTAGAACCACCTACAATTCAGTAATTTTCAAGACAACCTAATACTCAGTAATTTTCAGAAAACCTTAGACACCCACAAATGTCTATTTTACTAGAATATGTAACTTCCAAGGGCAAAATATTAGGTTTTCAAAAGCTGCTGAAGCCATAAGTATTTTCTTCAGGATAAGAGTACAGTTTAACTACAACAACTATTCTAATCAAGTCTACCAAGTTCAGAATCTGTGCAAGTGCCTCGAAGCTGCTGCTTTGGGTTTCCAGGTCAGACATGTTTCAGCAAAGGAAAAGATAGATCACGCTTCAGACTTTTCTGGAGTGGTGAAAAGGAGACAGAGAGAGAGAGACTTTGATAGGTCATCTATATATGACTATATAATTATGATACAATATTTGACTTACAAGCTGTATTTACTTGCCTAAGTAGTGGGTCAAAATTTCCCAAATCGGAGGAACTCTTCCTCTTCCTATGCTTAAGGCAGTGCAAGTTTATTATATCAAATTTGGAACAATTCTAGCACTGGTAGAAACAAAGTCTAAAGATGAAGGTATTGAATCTACTACAATCTACTAGAATAGAAATATAAAAGAGATCCTCTGTTAAGAAGATGTATCTAATATAAACATAGGTATGTAAGAATCCCAGGCTCCCTGCAATGCATCTCTAGGCCTATTTCACACGCAGTTTAAGAAGAAAGACCAGACCACAGTCTGAATGTCCTTGACAGTCTGAAGGAGGATTTCTTGTTGAAATGAATGACTTCCTCTTATCAAAACCTCAAAATTCCTGATGACTATAACCTAATTGAAATGTGAAGAGAGAAATAATGTGGCTCACCTGGTTGGAGTAATGGCCATCTGCAGAGCTAAATCTTTCTGAAGAATATTTTGAAGAATGCAAAAATGAGATGCATGCTGCCACTTTTTACTAAATATCATAAGTTATTCAAGTAAGTTATTTAACCACCTTGATGGCTGACTGAGTAATGTTCATGAAGTAATTTATTCAGCAAATACTGGTAACAGTCACCAAATAACTTATATAAAAGTATATTTTTTGGTATTCAATCCCTTCTTACAGATGGCTCATGATTCATAGGATTAATTTGCAGAACACAGATCATCCATGTGTATTCACTGTAGGCTGGCAGTACTACTGAGTTACATGCTAATTAATTGCCAGAGAAATCTATGTTAGGAGGGCGTTAATTGTTGGGAGCAAGTATCAGGACTTTTAAGGTAAATGGTATTCCAATTATCTTCCAAACAGTGTTAAGTCAGGAAAGTCCAAATAAAATTTGCAAGACTTCCAAATAAGTTAAAACCCAGGAAATTACAGATAGTGCATCCAGTATTCCCTGACCCTAAATTTATACTGCAGTGGCGACAAGCAAAAAATGACCGATTATGATCAGTGTATACAGAATGAAATTAAACCAAATGTGAACTGTGGGAGGGAAGAGCAAGGGCAAGGAAACTCATGGATCAAGATAAAGGTAGTTTAATAAGTGAAGGAAAGAGGAAAAAAAAACAACAAAAACAAGTGATGCAAAGGCAGTCACTCACCACCTCCCACAAGCAGACCAATGCCCAGCCAGGCTCTGAGCAATTTCTAATGAAGAAGATGGCTAACAATCATTTTCTTAGCTTAGAGGAACATTTCCAGATAGATTTAAAGGTGGCTTAATTGACTTCTGCAGTTCAAATATTAGAAGTTTCACAGCATTGCTTAGATGTCATACAATCAATATCAACCATTCCTTCAGGGCTGGCAAAGGTTTCAATACCCTCATACAGCAATGGTTCCCATATTGTTATCTTTTGGCATTATGAGAATTATAGCCTCAATAAGCCAAGTAACCTTTCCTCATGCTTGTGAATCAAACATTTTGAGTATTGATTCTGCACTCAAAATCCAGTGATGCTAATGGTCGGATGTGCTACATTCACTGCCTGTAATGAACTTTCTGGATCTCTGCTTTTAATCATAAACCTCAGGTCAACATCAACCAGTGGTAAGGGACACAGGTGATGTCTTATTTAATGTGAAACTTTCAACTATCCTATTAACTTTGTTACATTTTTCCTTGCTCACTCTGTTTAAGAGATACAATTGAGAATAACATTGAACTATGGTACTTAACAAATCTACCAGGAACAATACAGATCGTATTTTCACCAAGCTACTGAATATGTAACAGTACCATTTTCTGTTAAGATATGCAAGTTTGCATAGGCAAGCTTAGAGAAGCCACAGCCGGGTACTGTGGCTTGCACACTGCATCACTTATTTCTAGAACAGCATGACAAATGGGTTTTATATGCTATCTTCCATAGGTTAAGTTAGTGATTATTCAGTAATAAAGGTGCACAAGCCTGACTTCTGGAGGGCTTGATAATGTTACCGGCAACCTGGTTTACTCTGACATCTATTTTATCATTTAAGACTTATTTTGTGTGCCTTCTGCTTTAGAATATCTCTGAAGTCTCACCCATGAATTACAAAGCAATTGCTCGGGTCTCTAGCTGAATTCAGCACAGCGCAAGCAAATTAACTGTAAGCCAGCTTGAATACGTCCTTTTCCAAGGATTCGCCAGCCTCCTGGCTGCTCCGCCTTGTGCCTGGCAGCGATTCCTGCCCCAGGAAGCCTTCGCGGAGCATCCCCCCGCCCCAGCTGCATCGTGCCGCCCCTAAGCTCTGTCGGTTTTCTGTGCAGCTTTACCGGCACATCACAGCCTAGCTCTGAGACGTCAGTGCGGCCGAGGAAGTCCTTTTTTTCCTCACAGCACTTTATAGCTTATCTAAGAAGCATGCTCTCTTCCCTAATTTATCATCAGTGGCAATACATTTTCTTTCAGTTAGAACTGCGCTGTTTATGAAAGCGATTATAAATGTGGAAGTTTGATTATGGAATAATACCTATTTTAAAATGCTCTTCATGCACCATGTCACTGTTCCTTACTTGTAGCAAAACTAGATTATGATGTTCCCTTTCACAGCTACAGAAACAAGCTTGATTATTTTCTTTATTGGCTTTCTATTATATTTCATTCTTTGATCTACAGAATTTTTTAAAGTAATTTTCTGTGTCACTTTTACAAAATTAAGATTCCTAACAGCCATTCAAGCAAGTGTCTAACTTCAATTGTTTTGATATGTAGTTGACTGAGAACAGAAGTTTTAATGATGATTAAAGAACATTTAATTGCTTCAGCAAAGTAATTAAGGTTTTCTGCTATTAATAAAATTTATTGTAAGTATTCATGGATATTAAAGTCTTAAAGAATCCACAAAAGGTCCCACGAAGTACCTGATTTGTGTGCAGAAAATATAAATGAGGCTACATTATTTCAAATATATATATACATTCAGTTAATAAAATGTACACACTAAATTCTAGTAAAGACAAATTGTAATCTCTGAACGCTAATTAGCTCCTCAGGACTGGGTTCTCAGCAGGCCAGCTAAACAAATTTTACAGCAAGAGTGCTGTAGCCCTTTACTACAGCAGCACCAGAAGAGAGGCGACACTGTAAAAGAAAAGAAACTTCCTCGCTGTTTCTAAAAACAGCCCAAAGCCGCAGCCAGTATATTGGCTAGAAAGGATATGTACAAGAGAGGTTCTTCAGTGTTAGGTCCAACATCAATTGCATTTCACCACCTCCATTACTATTCCCCAAATAAGAGTGATTTAATCCTGTTTTTGCCATCTAACTATATCTGTCTCCCTCAGGTCACTAATGAAAATTGTTTCAACTAACAGGAAAGGCAGAAATGAGCATCTGGTATTCTCAACATGTCACCAAGTCTTATTTCAGGTCGACGTTGAGAGTGCAGCAGCAGAACTACACACAGTCGCAGATGCTCTGGTTTACGTTAGAACTACAGGAATGAAAGCTTGTGTGGAGAGGAAAGGAAGAAGTCCAGTGTACACAACAGGACTGCCAATAAGAGCAAAGAGAATACAAGCCTCATCAAAACATTACTGAAACAACTTAATACTTTGATTAGAGTAAGAATGTTAGAAATATCTCTAATATACTGTGATGGTGTAATATTGGTCCAAATCGCGCCTACAAGCATTAAGAGTCCTCAATGTATTTTTGAACATACAGGAATAGATAGGACAAGATGTGATCCAATACATATATGCAATATACTTGAAGGGGGCTTATAAAAAAGATGGAGGCAAACTTTTTAGCAGGGCCTGTTGTGACAGGACAATGGGGAATGGCTTTAAACTAGAGGGGGGTAGATTCAGACTAGATAGAAGGAAGAAATTTTTTATGCTGAGGGTGGTGAAACACTGGCACAGGTTGCCCAGGGAGGTGGTGGATGCCCCATCCCTGGAAACATTCAAGGTCAGGTTGGACGGGGCTCCGAGCAACCTGATCTAGTTGTAGATGTTCCTGCCCACAGCAGGGGGGTTGGACTAGATGACCTTTAGAGGTCCCTTTGAACCCAAACTGTTCTATGATTCTATGACTTCCTACACCCACACACAGTACGAAAGGTGGAGATGTAAAGAGCTGTCTGCCTAGATCATAACCAGAGACTGAGGTGTGAGTCGATGTAGGTTAAAAATCCAATTACTCAAAGCCCATCTGTACTGATAAATTCCTAAAAGGAAATTTTGGATTACTGACTGAGTTCTTAGAAAGCTAATAATCTTTGACCATTGTGTCTATCCCATTCCAGACAAATTCATTATGTTAAAGCTCTTTGATAGTGATGAAAGTTAAGCCAAAGACAAACATGGCTAGCACATTTACATGTGTCATGCCTAAAAACAGGAGTTCAGTTCCAGAACTACATTAGAAGTTTCTGAGCTCTGTAGATGTGTCATATAGCATTATGTAAATATAAAAGAACACAGAATAAATTCAGTCAGTTATTTTCTTTTTCAAATGGAAGAGTGATAAGCATCACTGCTGTTTATGTAAAAAGACTAAACTAATCAAATGTCTAATGCGGTAAATGAAAACAAGTAGGAGGGATTAACGGGCCTTCTTGTTTTTCCAGGATTTGCATGTCTTATTCACTCTTGTACAAGTTGTCACTCAGAAAGATAAAACACCATAGTTATTTGCTATGCATCTTTTTATCAACTTTGTTTTGCCCATCTTATTTTTTAAATCAATATTGCTGTTTCACTTCTAATATAGTAGCCTGAAAACACTGCCAGCATGCAGTGAATAGATTTAAAGTGCAAACCATGATTTGTAGAGAGTTTGGGGTGTTTGCTGCTACTGTATGTTTTCCACAGTTTCCTTTTAAAGAATGACTTAAAAATTAATCCCTGCAGTAATAAGAATATTTTTACTGCTGAAGGAATAAATGTCTTCAAATGTCTCCTGACCTTCAGACTTACAGAAGCTACTTGGCTATAAATTCTTTTTGTTTAGTTTGAAGCTTGTTTTAAAAAAGTTATTCCTGGCTTTGTGTTCTGAAATTCTGCCTTCTACAGTTTATTATCTACCTTCTAATGCCTTTGATCCTAGGAGGTATAATACAAAGACAATCAATAACCTAGGTCTCACATATTCAATTACTCGTATATTCTCTACCACTTCTTAACATGATTATTTTGATTCTCTGTGAAAAGTCATTTTGACATGTTGTCTACAGAGTTGGGGCAAACATATCAAGATAAGTATCTGTCTCTGGTGATGATGGCAAAGGGATAACACAGAAATTAAAATATAATATGTTTTTCCAGCTTGACATGAGTTAATTTTCAAAGTTTAGTTTTATTCTTGTCCATAGTGAAGAGTAGTAGAATAATCACACTGCATGCATTTGTGTGTTTCAATGCTGCTTTTTTGTACAGGATTTCTTTTTTTCCTTCCACTCCTGAAGGTATACTTGTGTATTGCATTCAGGAAGGCTTACCTGAATTACAAGTGTTGCCGTATGCTTCTTGCCGTACATCCTTGGCTTGAATCCCACCGTTATATGGGTTCCCACAGTGCCTGCTGGAAGAAGTTCTCCAGCTTGCGGCCGCACAAGGAACTCGGGATCGCTGCCCGCCAGGAAGTGCGCAGTGAATCGCTCTGTGTTCCTACCAGAAAAGCACAGGATACTGTTGTGCCTTCTACGGTATCTTAATACAATTTATCTACAACCTAACATTTAGGCCACCATGCGGCATGACTCAGGAAACTTGGCAGCCTACGGAATGCATACAGAATATTAACAGCATTTCTACAGAATAAATATTCTGTAGTAATTATTTACATTATTTATAAATATTTATAATCTTTATACACAGGGACCTGCATACTGGTCTTCTATTTCAAACATACTTATATGCTATTATAAATATTATAATAACTACAGAATGATAGCATTTGCCACTAGAAAGAAAAGAATCATCTGACCTGTAAAGAGATAATAATAGTGATAGAAAGAAATTCCATGCCAGAGTGAAAATCCACTTTTCCTATTACAAGCCCCTCACTTTTCCAATCTCTAATCAAATAAAACTGACAAACCACCCATTTTTTTAAGTTTTATGACCAGAACTGAATTTGCAAGCTGGTGGAGTGTTACTAGATTGGGAGGGAGTTCTGAAAGCCTTGAAATGAACATATGGAAAATAATAGTTTTCTATCACTGTTTTCCACATTTTTATACCCCATAAACTAAACACTTCAAGATATTGCAATAATAATAATTAGGTTCCTCTATCGATATTATTGTATATCTCTCATCTCAAAGAATTTCTGTCACAGGTACTGCAGATCTTGTCTAATTGCTAGTTTCATGGAAGTACTGTTGCGCCCAAAGAAAATGTCTTATTCCTGGTAAAGACAGTGGCTGAGGACTACAAAACAATCTTAGGCCAATCCCCAAACTGAAGCCTGTCTATCACAGGTCCTCAGGGACTCCTTGCCATACACTTTCTCAGCATGAAAAGAATATACATTTTTTTATTTTCCAGTCCGGTATTCTCCTTTTAGTCTTTATACGTATTGCTGAAGACATCACTATCTGGACAGAAAGAGAACAAAAGAAATTGAAACTAGAAATACAACGGCATGGTCAAAAAATAATCCACAACATCCTGCCACAGTCCAGCAGGACAAGTATCATGCATGCTTAGAGGGAACACATTTTTAGTTGATAAAACTTGAATGAAAAACTAACAGCATCTCAAAGAAAAGCTGTTCAAATCTGTTTATTCATGGATTGTCACACCAGAAATAACACCACTTTTCAAAGAAAATAATACTCACAAAGAAGTGAAATTTAATATTTTATGACAATTCGTCTCTCTACAGAAATGTCCCACATTTCCTGGGCAAGTGCTATTCAGTGGGTGGTATGCTGGGTCTATGTCATCTTGTTTAAAAATAGCTCTCCTTTGGAATATGTTCTCACTAAACATTTTCTTAAATTCAAAATACCCTCACGAAAAAAAAGGTCACACTGTAAGTTTGTAGAAACAAATACTGCAAGTGCAGAAATCGGGAACCAAAAAGCTTCTGCCTCCTCAGAAGACTAACTGACATTTAGCAGTGCCATCAGACTTGGGTGCATTAGCAGAGTTAGCCTAGCTCTTCCTTTAGGTGACAGCAAGGCGGGCAAAACTACTGAATGTCTGAAACTACACTTCAAGTCTTGTGACATCAAACTTAGGCTGACCATCTCTTTTTGTGGTGCCCAAAGTTGTGCAGCTGAGTTTATACCCCTGGGCCATAAGCACTAATCCTGCTACGGCCCGAGTTCCTGTCTATGTGCCATCTAAGCCTTGAGTTTTCACATCTGTATTTCCCACAAGGACTGCTCAGCCATGAATGCCTAGAGCATGCCTACTACACACAAAGGGCAGGCACGGGATGAAAAAGAAGTGATGCCTCTTAGACTGAGTAGCAGAGTAGAGCACTCATCAAAAATGTCTGAGATGAATATTCAAACCCTGGTTCTGGAAATAGAAAACTCAACATAGGTCTTCACTTCCAACATCATTGCTCTATAGACTGGATTTAGGAACATTTTAAGACAGCACTTTCTTTATCTCCCATGTTCAGTCTGTTTTCTGGTAAGTAGTTAGGGATGACGACTCCTAATAAGCACTTTGTGTCTTTGTAAGACATAGAAGAGCGTGACTTAGACTACAGATGCAATGATGAAATGCTAAGGGAGATGGGACAGGCTGGGTGCATGGAAGACGCAAGAAAATAAGGACTTTATTCCTGCAGAAATTGCATCTTAGCAGGGTGTGATCAACAGTAGTCTTTTTCAGAGACCGTAAATGATTCCTCAAAACAGGTAGTCAGAAAACACACAGGAGAAAAAGCTGTAGTTTTAGTCCTGACAAGGGGACCAGACAGTTTAAAACGAAACCGTCACAAAACTGATCTATAATTGTGCACACATGATATTTGCCAAGTCAGAGAAAAAATCTTATTGCATCAACCTTGTCAGATTTTAATTTTCATAAAGAAAAATGGAGAAAAACTAATAAAAAAGCTTTAAAGAAAATCTGCATGCTTCTTTGACAGCATTGGCACAAGGTACTAGAGGTCAAGGTACTAGCGGCAGCTGTAATTTTTTTGTGTTGAGTAAAATATATATACAAATACACACATACATACTTACATGAACACATATAGTCACACCTAAAACCTCCCCCTCCCCTCCCCTC